CATAAGTTCTTGTACTAAAGTAACTTTGTAGGGATGCCACTTTTGCTTCTTTAGCGTTCTAAGAACTGTTGAATTTCCCAAGTCATAATCTAATGCTACTTGCCGTGAACTGGTATGGGGATTATCTTCAAAGGCTAACAGAACATCCAGTTTCTTGTTTCGGAAATTGGGTTTCTACTACCTTTGGTGATGTCTTTCACATAGCCCGTTTCTCTGAATTTTTTCTTAATTTTACTCACAGTGGATTGTGAAATTGGTTCTCGGTTTGGCTATTTATTATTAAATAACGTTCATACATCTTCCTGCGTACGTGTTTTATCTCCACAACCAATCATTATTAAAACTTCAATTCTTTGTGTTTCAGTCAGCTTTATGTTGATACAAAAACTTTTTGAAAACGTCCACCACGATACTATTAACCACTTGATAGAAAGCGAATTAAGTTAAATGTCAAGGTAGCAATTTTGATAAGGTAACTAGATTCGTTTTAGAAAAAGTACAAAAATAAGATTTAAAAATAATAAAGAAATAATATACAAAACTAAATTACTTAGACGTCGGTGGAGGACTCCTAATTGTCATTAAATTCTTTAATATTATTATTATTATTTTAGATTAAGCACTTAATTATAAATAATTATCTTTTATTTATTGTGTTGTCAAAATAAAATAAAATTTATGTGTCTGATCATTAAATGACTTTTATTCAAAAAAAATTGTTATGTAAGATATTTAAAATATTATGTTTCCGAGTAGGAAATTGCAAGATATATCAAAATAAAAAAAAAATTGTGGTTACTATTGAAAAAAAATTATGAATGGGAACTGGGGAAAAATTTAATTCTATTTCAAGTAAACAAAAGTGGCCGCTCTGAGCAATTTTTCAAAAAACCAACTACTTCCATTATAATGAATTTATTCTTTTCTTTTGAACCATACTGTAAAATAAATATTCATTTTATAACTTTAATAAAAAAAAATATTGAATAATTTTTATTTCAATTCAAAATCATTTTTATTTTATTTTGATATTAGTTTATCAATTATCCAAAAATAAAAAAAAAACTAGCAAGTGGTAGCCATAAAAAGTAAAAATTTGTTGTCTGGTAGTTTTTTAAAATAAAGACAATTTGCTCTTAAAAAAATTAAAGACATAGTAAAAAAATTAATATACTATAAATTTTTTGTTAGCAAGCAAATTTTAAATTATTTACCTATCATAATTTGCCTAACTAAATTTAAAATAATTATTCTGCGTAATTTTAATTTATTCTAAGATTTAAGTAATTGTTATAAATTTACGAACTAAGCTTTGGTTTAAATTTATGTCAAACCAAGAACCAGTTTTTCGACAAACAAGTATGAAAATTGTTCATAAAGAGATAAAAGAAAACAAAATAATAAAAAATTATTATATAGGTACTTTCGTAAAAATAATATTAATTTTAAAATAAAACTAATAAAAATCATGTCTACATTTGCGATTATTTTTTTATTAACAAGCAACTTTTTTAAGATGGTTTAAAATATTGTGTTAATATCAATTTATAGTTTATACTTACTTGAAAACTAAAATAGTTTTCGTTCACTTGTTTTTTATAAATTTACTACAACAAATAAACTGGAAAATTACTATTAATTATAAATTTGATCCACCTTCAATATCCTCGAATAATAACTGGCCTCTTCATTACTGGAAATGTCTTTTAAACTACATTTTAACTGCTAAACATGTTGTCGTTGATACTGCAGTACGAACTATGTCACGAAACATTAATTTTTTTAAGAGAATAAAAAATAAGAGAATAAAAAACAATTTCAACAGGGAGTAATTTTTCCCGTTATTTTAAATACATTTTCTATATGGAGTACAAAAATAAAACATATTGCAATGTATAAAGTAGTTTTGGTTACGCTTAAAACGAATTTTTGAATTTTTGTATACAGGGTTTCCCGAAATTAAACGGTCATATTTTAACAACGTAATCTACATATTAAAATAAGAATAAAAGTTTATATAAACGTTTCGTTTTCGAGATACAGAATGTTACAAGTGTAGTCCTGATGGCACATTTTTGTAAATATTTTCTAAAATTTCTTTAGTTACTGGTTTTCCAAAGTTAAAAAAAAATAAAATTTCTGATTTCACAAGCCTAATAATTATTGTTTACACTTTCGAATAAGATAACATCAACTTATCATGACATTTTTAAATGCTTTTCTCTTGAAAATGGTACGTCCTAGCGAGATGCAACAAAAGTAGCTTTATTAAAAAAAAACATTGGTTTTCCAAATTTTATAGTCAAAAATATTAAAAACTGTCAACAAAAAAAACTTAGAGCAATTTTACCCTAAGCCCCCCCTAATTTACCCACCTGAAGATGATCAAAAACTATGGTTTAGTTCATTAATCGAGCTTAAGAAAGTAAGCATTTGGATTTAATTTTCACTTAAGTTATCTTTAAACGTTTAGAAAATATTTACAAAAGTGTGTCATCATGACTTCACTTTTAAAATCCAGTATTTCGGAAAAGAAACGTTTTCGGACCTATGTTTATATGAACTTTTACTCCTATTTTAGGATATAGATTACGCTGTTAAAATATGATGGTCTAATTTCGGGAAACCCTGTATAGCTCGTCTTGCAGTATCAACATTTTATTAAATTCTTTTTTGTTAACTAACTCCCTTATTTTTTCATTTTTATTTCTTAACTGCTTCATTATATTTGATCCAATTAATAGATTTTAGGAAATAATTTTAATATTTTTCTAATAATATTTATGATTAATATTATATAAATTATTACAATCAATTTTAATAAATGAAACTTAAAGATGAGTATATACATGAAAGCCATTAAAAAAATTGCAAAGAATTAGAAAAAAGATTTGTATGAAACGAAAAAGTTAAATCAGTCTTTATATCGTCTACTATTTATTTGTAATATGGGGTACTTTTATATGTGTATTTTAAGAAAGATAGATAACTAATTTTTTTAATATAATGAAGCAACTTTTATAAATATTATATTTTAAATATCGGTTAAAATTTTAATTTTTATTTAGGTGTCTAAGAAATAAAAATAACTACTTTAAAATATCCTGGACCATTAATCCTAGACCATTAAATTACTGGTCAAATGTCATTAAAATTTTATTTTAAATTTGAAACACATAAAAGGATTAACTTATTTATAATAAACTAAAATAATATCATTTTATGATAATATATTTATCTGAGTATTGAAGTATATTAAAGTATATAGAAAATATATATATAAAATTAATTATTGTGTCCACTTAAATTATTAATTGAAGAGACAAGTGGATGGATAAAGGCCATGTCATATTTTTCAAAAAATGATTTTTGTAGCCTAATATACTTAAATTATGCTATATTTTTGTTTATGATAGTTATGTTTTCCAAATTTGTTAAATAACTACTATTCATAAGATAGGAAGGTATTTTGAGCCATATTATCATAGTGCAATTATTATCCAACTTTAAACTCGTGTTTCTTGAAATACTCTTTTTGTGACATAACACCTTTATCCACTCATGTCTTCAATTTTATTTTGAATAACTCCGATAAAAATCATAATATATTTATAGGAATTACAATTTTTACATCATGCTGCAAGTACATTTAATAAAATTTACGAGCCTGCTAAACTTTGACCGATGTTTAGACTACGAGTAGTTTGAAGCTCATGTCATTAGGATATGCAGTGTGTCCGAAATTGCGATCTCCGAAACTGTTAGAGATAGAAAAACAGTTAAATGGGGAAGTTCTAGACGATTTTGTTTATAATTCAATGCCATTTAGTTTGAGATTTTTTCTCTTTTGGTTTTTGAGATATTTTGAAAAAAATAAAATGACGGATTTCCGAAAATATCTTGTATTTTCTTTATTTATGAAAATTTATAAAATCTGTTAATAAATTTTTGAAGCAACTTTTTACGTAGAAAACGCCTGTATCGTCATATTTTATTTGCAACGTTTCGGCTACTTGGAACCATCATCAACTTTGTTTTTCATAAAGGCGCCATATTTGATTTGTACTGTTTTGAAAAGCCCCTTTTTTACCTTCCTAACGATGTATCACACTTAGTAAAAAAAGTTTAAGGGTTACAAAACCAAAAATTATGATTTTATTTTTAATTTGGCAACGTCGCCCTATAAAACAATATTACATTTAATCTCTAAACTACAATTAATAACAAAAGTTATGGTTTTTTGACGTTATTTTTTGTTACATTGTAAGAGTGTGATATTATTATAAACATAAACTATTTATTATGAGGATATTTTCGTATTAATTGCATTTTAGAGATTTAATATAATAGGATCTCCTTAAATGTTAGGTTTTATAGGGGCTTTTTAAACAGTAAAAATTCAATATGGCGCCCATATGGAAAACAATGTTGATGATGGTTCAAAGAAACCGAAACATTGCAAATAAAATTTGACGACACAGGTGTTTTCTATGTAAAAAGTTGCTCCAAGAAAGTTTTTACAGATTTGGGAAATTTTCATAAATAAAGAAAATACAGGGTATTTTGGGAAATGCGTCATTTTAGTTTTTTAAAATATCTCAAAAACCAAAAGAGAAAATCTCAAAATTAAACGGCATTGAATTCTAAACAGAATCGTCTAAAACTTTTCCCATTTAACCGTTTTTCTATCTCTAACAGTTTTGGAGATCGCAATACATGCATCACCATTTTCGGACACACTGTATATCATATTATCAAGCACTCTCAATGTTTATCAGGATTATAAATTTTAATCATGTTGAATCTTTATCTTCAAATTAAAATTGACAGCCATACTTTTTTACTCGTTTTTTTGACAATCGTGACTATTCACTTTGTAGTTTTATTTATTTTTTGTTGAATTGGAGATTTTTTAATAAATACAGTATTATATTATAGTGCCAAATTTATATTTTTTTATTTTTAAAAATTTTTGTTTGAGTTGAACCTTTTATTTTTAGCGTGCTTGACTGAGAGGGCTTACGGACTGACTAGACTCGGCGGAAAACTTAAAACAGTGAAGAAGATGCGAGACAAGGCCAATACTTACCGAGAATGGGTCGAAGCTCATTCCAGATGAGAAGATATATTTTAGCCTAGCTTCTTTTTCGATTTAAAATTTCGATATCTGTAAAAAAATAATATTTATCTCAAATTCCTTTTACTTAACTGTGATATGTATATATGTAATTAGAAATAAATAATTTTTAATTTATTTTAATCCTGCATTTTTATTATTTTATTTATTACATGATTTTTAAATTATTAAAAACAGAAATAGAGACAAATACGTTTAAGCTTGGGTTCGAGTTCAAAGCATAAATTTATTAAAAAAAGCTGGGCTTATTGCTTTTATTTCAAGTAACTAGACTTCAAATGGTTGATTGAGCTATTTTAAAAATTGTCTGGAAACTAAACTTATGTGATTTTAACATATAACGAATAATACTGATCAACTGATCATATTTTATTTTGTTGCAAATAAACATTAAAATTTATCAAAAATTACTGAGATAAAAAAATATTTATAAAAAAAATATATTAAAAAAAAAATTAGAAATTTTCAGCATTAAAATGTATCACCATATTTAAAATTTAATTACTGTCTACTCTTTTTGTGATAATTTTTTTGAACTTCTACGTCTTATACCAATTTAGTTGGGTTATATCATCTTATTTCTAATCCATGTGCCTATAGTCTCAATATTTTAATATAGAGGAATTCAAAAATGCAAGTGCATTCTGTACTTAACATTTGAACCAATCAACAACATATTTCTAGTTGTTTAGATATGTTTAGACCGATTTATTTTGTGCTTTTTAGTGGAAAAGATAATTCATTTATAAGCATCATGTTAATCTCATAAATAACTGTATATGAACTTGTCTCTAAACATTAATGCACCAAACAATAAGAATTATTCAGTCATTTTATTTTTATATAAAATAAATATATATATTGTAAACTAAATGTTTGTTTTAGTAGAAATGATAATTTAATTTTTTAGCTCTATTTTTAAACAAATTATTTCAAACGAAACACTTAGTAACCTAAGATACTATTTTTTATTCACATAAAAAACAAAATGTCAAAGTCAAATTTAAATCTATAACAAGTGATTTATGTTGACAATATATTACTAAAAGAGAATTTTAAATCATCTAGGAAGACATTTTTAAAAGTAATAAAATTGTCATTCATAAACAAAATAAAGAGAAGTGTTTCTAGAAGAAAGCCTTTGGAACTCCGGAGATTTGGTAAGATGTCTCAGTGATTGGATGAAATTCGAGTGAATTTTATATAATTCGGTCAAAAACTTTAGAAAATATCGTTTACAACGTAGACTCCTACGTCTACCTGCCCTTTTCTATGAATTGTGTCTTGCAAAGTAAATTGGGTAGGTATTGTAGAAAATATTGACAAAGCCATGCCAATTTTGTTTGATTATTTTACGGGACTTACTAGAAATGCAGTTATGGATAACAACTATGTTATGATGTGGAATTTAGATAGATATACAGGGTGTCCCGAAATTAGACGGTCATATTTTAACAACGTAATCTTCATCCTAAAATAAGAGTAAAAGTTCATATAAATATAGGTCCGAAAACGTTTCGTTTTCGAGATACAGGGTGTTACAAATGAAGTACTGATGGCACGTTTTTGTAAATATTTTCTAAAATTTATTTGATCACCGATTTTCCAGAGTTAAAAAAAAAATAAAATTTCTGATTCGAGAGGCCTACTAATTATTGTTTACAATTTCGAATAAGATAACATCAATTTATCATGAACTTTTCAAATGCATTTCTCTTGAAAATAGTGCGTTCTAGCGAGATAAAACAAAAGTAGCTTTATTATACAGAAAACATTGGTTTTCTAAATTTTATAGTCAAAAATGTTAAAAACTTAGGGAAATTTTACCCTAAGCCCCTCCTAATTTACTCACCTATGAAGGTGATCAAAAACTAGGGTTAAACCAATTAAATAAAGCGTAAATAGGTAAGAATTTGTACCAAATTTCACTTAGTTATCTTTAAACGTTTAAAAAATATTTCCAAAAGTGTGTCATGCGGACTTCATTTTTAACACCCTGTATCTCAGAAAAGAAACGTTTTCGGACCTATATTTATATGAAATTTTACTCCCATTTTATGATGTAGATTACGCTGTTAAAATATGACCGTCTAATTTCGGGACACCCTGTATATTGGTATATCCCTTAGTATAAGAAATAGAAAATCATTAAATGGGGAATGTTTTAGAATGTTTTTAGAATTGTATGCTAACGTAGGATTCGTTTAAAAAATTATTAAAAGTTTTCAGTTATTTAAAAAAATATATAAACATGGTAGTTCAGTAACTGAAGGGACCAACCTGTCATTAAGTCGGTCCAGATTTCCGTTGTAGCTCAGCTCTTAGGTCTCGGCGGTCGCTTCCAAGGTCAAAAACTTTTACCAACTCTGCTGCGTCGGAAAGGGCCCAAAATGGACCCTAAAACTGGATTATCGTCAATATCTTCCACAATATGCAAATTAGAGAATTTTTGTTTAGATAAAAAAAGAAAGATCTTATCATTATCTACAAAAATGGTCCCTATCATTTTTGTCGGGAATTCGACAGGTTTCGAGATAACCGCAATCAAAAGTCCCCTCGTTCAGCCCCTGCTTTATCTCTATAGCAATGCTGATTTGCTTGTAAACGGGTGTTACATTCTTTAGACATTTTTAACACGTTAACTTCCATGTGTACCATTTCTGGACACAGCTCATTTTAATTGTGCGCCGTATGTACCTTACGAGGACACATGCATTACAAGTTTCTCGGCCGTGTGTACATGCGACGGCCGTACTTAGCGTTGATTTAAATACATGTATCGTTCGGTCTGACGTGGGAATGTACTATATAGTAATGGCCCGCGTATTTTTTTATTTTTTTTACAATGAATAATAAAGGTTTTAGAAAATAATTTTATTTTTGCTTATTTACTAGTACATAGGTCAAATTAATGGAAAAAATTCAAATTTTTTACAAAACACAGATATTATAACGCAAAGAGACATAAAACTTAAAAAATTGGTAAGAAAACTGAACTTTCAAATAAAAACCAATCCCATTTAGCAGTAAAAGGGATACGTCAAGAAAGTTTTTTATTTATGTATAAACGTGGTAGGTAACTTAATTTAGAAAAGAATAAACATAAGTAACAAAATGAAAATCTAGTTTAGTTTTTTAGATTCATGTGTTGATGTGTCCATTTGCGGTACGCATGGTGCACGACACAAAATATTGTGTGTACCAAAGCTGCACACAGTAGTTTTAAAAAAATAACTTTTTGTATTTCTTTTCAGTTTTATTAGTAATTTTTAATCACTAATAAACTACGCAAACTTGCGTGGCCCACAGGATCTGGTACAATTTTTTTCCACCAGTGGCCTGGCAGTTAACGTGTTTAATCGATAAAAATTTTGTAGAAAAAAATCCAAACTGTTTTTAGATTTTGACTTTCCTACCGGAACTATATTATTTATTATAGGGACCATATTAAATTTTGTACATTTTAAACTATCTGCAACAGGCAGCCCATTTTGAAGAAATATTGTTAAGTTAATAAAAGAAAACAATATATTCCTTCATTTGGCCATACCACATCCATCTAAAATAGCTTTTAATCAATGGTACAAGATAATATTACATATCTTGGCCTATTATGTAAAGATGCTTAAAATAAAATCAAGGACTATTGCTTGAAAGTACTTATTCTTTCGTTATAATAGGATTTGCTATTGCAATTCATTTTTTCCTATTATTTGAGATTTTTAATATTAAGCCTAAATTTTCGTATTCGGTAACTATTAATTTTAATTTGTTCTAAAACGGCCTTTCTTAGAAATTTAATAAAATTTAAATATAAGGTTAATGAAACTAAAAAAAAAAAAAAATTGTTTTTCTTTAAAACGAGATATTAACACTCTTGAAGCCTGTCATGTACACAAGCATTTTAGGATATCTCGAAAACGGTTCTTACTATATTTTTTAAAAACTAATATAACGTAAATCAAGAAGTTATAAAATTTTCTAAAAAAACGATGAATTTTTTGACCGTTTTGGTAAAAAGATATAGATTTTTAAAATAAATAATTTTTAAAGCAGTCGGCGCATGGTGGCGTATAATGATTACAACTTGGCAACGTTGTAATCGATACGCTTAACTCCCGGTAATTCAAATGTCTGTTAGATGCTTACTAAAAAAGTTGATCCAAGGTCTTGTAAATGTCTTATTTACAAGTAATTCATCTCATAAGCCCGACAAGCATCCATTTTTCCCATTACTAAAAACATTAAAAAAATAAATACCTAATTGTAATATATAAAGAAAACCCTTAATCAATAAAATTTTTTCGTCTGATACTCACTAAAAAGTTGATTGAAGGTCTTGTCAATTACAAATTTTTATGAAATACATCTCATTAGCCCTACAACCGTTCAATAATTCCATTAAAGATCTTAAAAAATATATACCGAATTGTAATATATGAATCAATAGCCTACGTTTGCTGTAAGATATTTGTCGCTTGATGAAAGTAAGAACAGCAATAATATTGTTATAAAGGTCAACTATACAACTGATAATATTCTCATAAAACTGACTTACTGAAGTCAGGATCACCGACATATATAGCCCAATTTAACCTTTTAGCACCTTCCCGAACATCCAGATGTTTCTTGACGTAGAATGACATTTCTAGACATTTCTTGAATATTCTCCCTTCTTCCTCTACTCGCACCTTTACTTATGATGACTGCATCAGAATGTAGGGTACGATATCATCGTCAGACAGTGCTAGCCATTTTTGGTTAAATACCTTTACGTTTTCGCTTTAATAACGCTGGTCTGGTAGTTTCGTATAATTTTCTACATTTATGCCTTCATGTATATTGGATACTACTGTCATGAAAATTCCTAAGCCGTCTCTGTCTAAACTCTAAAGCGAGTGACCTTGGAAGGCCGCCACTCGATTCATGATCAAAGCAACGCTGACGTGTAAAGACAGTCGGACCGCGTCTCGAATATACAAGAAACGACGGAATCTCTAGGTATGCACGTGACGCTTCGAGAAACTGCCGTTGAGTCATAGAGATGAAATTTTCGGGAGCGTCTACTAGAAACTATGAGCACAGAATTGGCTTGGGATAAATAGCCGACTAATTGGCGCACAGTATAG